ATATATATTGCTGCAGCCAGGCACGCTAGAACATTCAGATCTATAGAAGCTCCCCTATCTTTTAATAGCGCTCAGGAGGCTGTGTGTGAATTAGAACCGGCACTGGATGCATTTCTGTTCACTGACAGGCAAAGATGTGCTCCTCTTTTGTGCATGTTCCCAGGAAAAGTGCTGAATCCATATCCTGCAGTGCATGTCAAGTGTTCAGCACTGCCAGCATCTCGCTGTTTCTCCTCACTGCATCATTGCACAGAGGAGCCAACAGTGTTATAAACCAATTTTTTATTTTTATTTTTTTTTGGGGAAAATTAAAAACTTAAGTTTAGGAACAACCCTCAAATTTTCACACTAGTGTCGTTTATAAAATATATATATTTATGTATGTGGATATGTATATATGTGTATGTATATGTATATATGCATATGTGTGTATATATATATATATATACATATATATTTATTTAATATAGCCCATTCAGTTTAATATAGTACGTATATATATATATACATATATATATATACATATATATTTATTTAATATAGCCCATTCAGTTTAATATAGTACGTATATATATATATACATATATGTGTATATGTATATATATACATATACACATATATGTATATATATACATATACACATATATGTATATATATATATATGTATATATTTATTTAATAAAGCCCAGTCAGGCTATATTAAATTTGGCCTATGGCAGGAAGCCAAAAAGCAACATGTGGCCAAGAGCCACAGGTCGTAGACCCCTGATCTCAGGGGATAAAAGAGAAGAAAATAGTTTGGTTTTCTCTCCGCTGCATTGAAAGTCTGAAACTTAAAATAAAACGTGAGGATTTTTGTTAAAAAAAAAAAAAAGGAGCCTGCTGATAACGGTCATTTTTATAATTTGTTGTGTTACAAATTAGATAAAGTCAATGTTTGTTTGTTTTTTACACATTTACGTGTCTGAGATTAACCATTGATCAGTAAAATACAAAATTTAAATAATGTTAAACCTCCAGAATCACACATCTGTAGACTGTGCATATTTACGTCCGACTGCAGACATTTCCAATTTTACATCCAGAATCCAGGTTAAATGAGCACTATTCATCTGAGCACATATATTTTTAGCCTCAACTGTGGCGTTTGGTGTAATTCCAAGGACTCTCTCTGCTGATCCCCCCCACCCCCCCATTCTAGCACAGCAGCTGCGTAGAACCGATTATACCCAGTGTCATTGTTATTCTCCTCATCCTGTTCCCTGATTATACGCTCAGACGAATACCAACACTTACTTGACAAACTCATCCCAAAATCCAATAAGATTGCTTTTCAACTCTGTTAAGAAAACAGTTCTGTCACTGTTCGTAACGGCGAACAAAAGCTGCATTCAGAATGTGACGGGTGGGAAAATAAAAGGCCATGCATGCCTGATAGACGTTTCATCTGTACGTAGGGGGTGTGAGGGCAAAGTCTTGGCAGGAAAATATAGGTCGTGTCAATAAATGTCAAACAGTCCCAGCAGAGGCCATTGATGTGCAAAACGGTATAAATCAGTTGTACAAGAATCAGTAGTAAGCATATTTTCCTATTCAACACGATTTTACACTGAGGCTAGTATTAACGTTTTTTTTTACCAACCAAGTATTTTCGTATACTCATACTTGTCTTCTTTCGACCTGGTTTCAGTAAATGTGCTAACCCGCAACAACAGTGAAGACACTGAGCAGCACTATAATAATATATTTTCACGGACAAACTCCGCTTTTTTCATTAACAAAGGGCTTTTTCAAGCTTTGCCGTATTTTCCGGTGAACAGAAAGTGAGCAGAGCTTTCACACCAACAGCACATTTTAAGTGAAAATTCTGTCTCCTGATTTCTAGTTAAAAAAGTGTAACTTGAGTCATATCCATTCACTTTCTACACCAACAGCACATTTTAAGTGAAAATACTGTCTCCTGATTTCTAGTTTAAAAAGTGTAACTTGAGAAACAATGAAAATATTCTTAATTTGCCATCGAGTCATATCCATTCACTTTCCTTATTCTAAGTAAATCTGGCAATATTTCAAAGTATTGTATCATCCAGACGCCAATACTAACAGTCTAAAATATTGTTTTATATCATAAATATGACGATCCTCCGTCAATCAGAGCAGTACTACTGGACCGCAGTAACGGCTAGTGTCCAGTATTTTGATCCTAAAGATTTTGTCCCATAAATTGAAATTGAAATGTCACTCAACAATTCGATTTCAACTCCATTTGCTGGTTAGAGGCTAGGAGGCTAATGCTTGTTTAGCATAGTAGCAACATAGCATAATAGCATTTAATATTCACGTTTAACAGTTTAACATACTACTAAGGTAGCAAATATTTTTGTAAATGTGCTCACGTGACTTTTGAAAATTCACACCACTTTTGCAACAAAATGTTGCTATTATTTCCAGCATGAGCCGCTCTACTAGTGACACCCCGTAAGAGACAGGGAGGAATTTGATCAGAAATTACAGCAGCATTTAACCCAGAGAGCGACAGGTAATTTTACTCTCAGAAAGAAAATGTGCAGCATAAGGCTGAAGCATAAACGTGTCCAAGTGCGTGTGTGTGTGTGTGTGTGTGTGATCTACCGGCTTTTAAATAGTCTTGGACGTTTCGTTTTACAACACCATAATTACTTTGACGGCATTTTCATTAAGTTTCCATGTGCAGTTTGACCATAAATCGTATTTGAGGAAGCGTAATTCCTCCATGATTTGCCTCGTATCAATTATGAGTCACTGTCACTCGGCTATTTAAGATCGTTTCCTCCTGGCACTTTTGCTGACAACAACTGCTGATCTCACGTCCCGTTCAATCAATTGCAATTACAGTCCACGCAGTCTGACAGCAAGAGAAACGTAGACTTTTAATTATACGCTTTACCCCGGCTGTCTTAAGTGCTCTGTCGCACCATCGCTCAACGGCGCCGACGTCGCCGAAGTTCTTTGAACACAAACCCAAACACACGCTAATTCAGATGTTTACGACGCATCCTGGTTCTTTGTCATTTCAATCAGAGGATCTTTACTCACATGAACACGAAAAAAAGTTATAATTGACAATGAAGAGACCAGTAAGAGGTTTCCCATGGTCTCACTCAGACATGGGGCAATCTAAGGCCCGAGGGCCGAATGCGGCCCGTTTAGCTTTTTAATCCGGCCCACCAAATTTTTTTCAAATGATATAATTTATTTATATTATCATTATACTTCTGCCTTTTCCCTGCAATACCCATGTTGGCTCAATAGATGGCGTAGAAAATTATGAATGCATTTTAGCATTTTAGCATTTTAGCATTTATGTATGACTTTTACGTATCATTTATCTTGTATCTCAAATGTTCGCTCCTGATCCCCCCCCCGTTAAATTTTAGGACAATTGTGGCCCCCCCGAGTTAAAAAATGACCCCAAGTATCCCAAGTGTATCTCAAATGTTCAAAAAAATACTTTCTGACTTCTGTGTTCTATTTGAGAAATAAACATGCTTCCAGTTCGGCACCACATTCTTCAGTAGAACACCGTGTCCGCACAAGCAGATCTCAGAATTAGATGGGAAAAAAAAAATATATTCCACAGGGCATAATACTCTCCGTCAAATAATTATTTCAATTTAGAGCAGCAGGCTGACGAACACGCACACTCTGAGATGATTCATGCCATCTTTCATTGTGTTCTTAAAATTCCGATCTTTCTTTAAG